AAAAAGCAAACAACTTCATTAAAAAGTGGGCAAAAAACATGAACAGATGCTTGTCAAAAGAAATACATGTGGCTAACAAGCATTATATATTTTTAAAAAAAGGTCATCGCTAGTCATTAGATAAATTAAAAGAAAAACCACAATGAAATACCACCTCACACCCATCAGAGTGGCTGCTTTTAATAAGCCAAAAAATAACAGATGGGTAAGGTTGCAGAGAAAAGGGAATGCTTATACTCTGCTGGTGGGAGTGTAAATTAGTTTAATGACAGTAAAAATCAGTGTGGTGATTTCTCAAAGAACTAAAAACGGAATTATCATTTGACCCAGGAACCTCATAATTGGGTATATACCCAAAGAAATATAAATTATTATATTATAAAGACATATTCACATGCATGTTCACCGCAGCACTATTCACAATAGCAAAGACGTGGACAGGCCCTGAATGCCTATCACTGGTAGACAAGATAAAGAAAATATGGTACAGTCAGATGCGGTGGCTCATGTCTGTAATCCCAGCATTTTGGGAGGCCAAGGCAGGTGGATTGCCTGAGCTTAGAAGTTTGAGACCAGCCTGGGCAACATGGCAAAATCCTGTCTCCACGGAAAATACAAAAGGAAACATTGGCTAGGCATGGTAATGCATATGCGTAGTCCCAGCTACTTGGGAGGATGAAGTAGGAGAGAACTGCTTGAGCCTGAAAGGTTGAAGCTAAAGTATGCCAATATCATGCCATGGCACTCTAGCCTGGGCAATAAGCCTGTCTCCAAAAATAAAATAAAATAAAAGATTTAGTAAAAACAAAACGTGGTACATAAACATCATGGAATACTCTGTGGTCATTAAAAAAAAAAAATGACCATGTCCTTTGCAATAACACTGATGAAGCTGGAGGCAATTATTCTTAGAAAACTAACACAGAGGCTGGGCGCTGTGGCTCACGCCTGTAATCCCAGCACTTTGGGAGGCCGAGGTGGGATAATCACCTGAGGTCAGGAGTTTAAGACCAGCCTGACCAACATGGAGAAACCCCTCTCTACTAAAAATACAAAATCAGCCAGGTGTGGTGGCGTGCGCCTGTAATCCCAGCTACATAGGAGGCTGAGGCAGGAGAATCGCTTGAATCCAGGAGGCGAAGACTGTGGTGCGCCAAGGTCACACAATTGCACTCCAGCCTGGGCAACAAGAACAAAAATACGACTCAAAAAAACAAAACAAAACAAAAAACAAAAAAAGAAAACTAATGCAGAAACAGCGAACCAAATGCATGTTATTATTTACAAGTAAGAGCTAAGTAATAAGAACACATCAACACAAAGAGAACAACAGACAGTGAGGCCTAGTTGAGGGGGGAGGGTGGGAGCAGTAAGAGGATCAGAAATCATACCTGTTTGGTGCTACGCTTAGCACCTCAGTGACAAAATAATCTGCACTCCAAACTCCCATGGCATAATTTTAGCTGTGTAACAAACCCACATGTGTACATCCCACCAAAAATCAAAGCTTTAAAAAAAAAAAAAATCCCTGTGTGGGAGTGGGAGAGTGTGCAATGTAGGTGAAAGGACTGGTTTTCATTACAGATAGTGGCCCAGGTGGTGCTGTATTCTGATTTATTTTTGTTTGCATGCAGACAGATGAGATTATAAACAGGAGGTCCAGAACCTTAGGTTGGTGGAGAAAACAGGTTGCTGTTGCAGATTCTGCGTCTAGGGGTGGGGATATGCCCAGAGACTTGAAGAGACTTGTGGGTTCTTGGCAAGAAACACTAGGACCAAAAATGCTGTGGTGAAGTTCCTGAGGGTGGTGCTTAGTCCTGGGAAGAGTGTGGACACGTCAATGTCTAGTGTGTGTGTTTGTGAGTGGGTGGGAATCCTGCGATGGCAGCTGCAAGAAAAGGGGGTCTGTCATCAGAGCTCTTTCCTCTAAGTTTTCAGTCTTCTGTCACCCTGGAAGAAGACCTTAAATCACAGGACAACAGGCAGTGTGGCAGCCTGTGTACAGGAGAACAGAGCCTCCCATTTTCAAATACTCAGAGCTTTGTTCCAGGTCAGGCCTCCGTGATATCTTTTTTCTGACACCAAATCTGTAGAGTTTGCTGAACATCAAACAATTCTCCAACACCAACTCATTGCCTAATATTTGAATTCTGACACCACCCAGAGTCAGCATAGACCCTGATCCAGAGCTCATTCTCACAACATTGTCCTCACTGCAGATGCCAATCAAAAACTCCATAGGCCCATCTATACTTCTGAGCTACTGTTTGAAAACTGAGGACTCCCAAATCTCCCTGAAATTCAATAATTTGGTAGAGCTACTTACAGAACTCAGCAAAACACTGTAGTTATGTTTACCAGTTTCATATATAAGATGCAGCCCAGGAAAAGCCAAATGGAAGAAATGCATAGAACAAAGAAAAGAGATGGGGAAAGATGAAACACATAGATAATCCTGGAAAATATATGTGATTAATAAAATTCTCCATCCTTTGTGTGCTCCAGGAACAGTATATGGAAAGAAACACCCTTCTCATTATGACTTAGATGGTGCCCTCTTTTCTTACCTATCACACAGCCAGACACATACTCTGCACATTTTCTCCTTTTTCTCATTAAGAAATTCAGTTGAATTTGTCTTCAGTGGTCAAAATAATTTTTTTTTTTTTTGAGATGGAGTCTCGGTTTGCCACCCAGGCTGGAGTTCCTTGGCACCATCTCAGCCCACTGCAACCTCTGCCTCCAGGGTTCAAGCAATTCTCCTGCCTCAGCCTCCCAAGTAGCTGGCATTACAGGTGGCCACCATGACTACTGGCTAATTTTTGTATTTTTAGTAGACACAGGGTATCACCATGTTGACCAGGCTGGTCTGGAACTTCTGACCTCCGCCTGCCTCGGCCTCCCAAACTGCTGGGATTACATGCCTGAGTCATGGCACTCAGCCTAAAATATTTCTTAATCAAACTTTACTTAAGTTTATCTCCATCCCTCAGGCTAGTGAACTTTGAGCTGCCCTCAGTCTGAGTCAACATACAACCCCATTTTATGTCCCTCCTAAGAACACACTGATTTCAGGGTAAGACATTCTCTGATCTAAATTCTGACTTTTTCACCCTCCATTTGCAATTCCCCTCTCACCTTCCTCTGTAATCTTGTTTACTCCTCCCTACAAAAGAAAGCCCTTTTCTGCCTACATTTTTTGCAAGCCATAAAGATCTTTTAGTCAGTTGGTACTTCTTCCTGTTGCAATACTTTTTTAGGAACTCATTTTTTTTTTTTTTTTAACGTAAATCTAACATTTTTATTTTAGAAAGTGTAAAAAGTGCCTCAAAACCATAACAACTTCATTACCAGTAAGACCCTCCCAGTTTCCTTTCATCTTAATCTTAACCGCATCTGCCTGTGGGGCCCCAGCTTTCCAGGGCTCTGTAGCTTCTTTCAGAATAAAGTCTCCTTCCACGGCTGGGGTGAGCAGTCTGAGATATCTGCAGGGGAGACTCCCCAGAAAAAAACTAACAGGGCCTTTAATAACCTCCTATTAGCCGCGTGCGGTGGCTCATACCGATAATGCCAGCACTTTGGGAGGCTGAGGCGGGCCTGATGCAGAGAGTTCAAGACCAGCCTGACAAACACGGAGAAAACCCGTCTCTACGAAACACCAAAATTAGCCGGGCGTGATGGTGCATGCCTGTAATCCCAGTTACTGGAGGGGCTGAGGTAGGAGAATCACTTGAACCCGGTAAGCCAAGATCACGCCATTACATTCCAGCCTGGGCACCAAGAGCGACACTGTGTCAAAAACAACAACAACAACAAAAACCCTCCTGTTGCAGGCTTAATATTAGCCTTAGCTTGGAGACACTAGGTTCAAGCTTTAATTTCCACTTCAGAGTTATTCACTTGGTTTTTTGAAACTAAGTGTTAGAAAATCAGTGAAATTACTCACAGTGTTTACACAAAGGAAGTTTTAAGATGCTTACTTTTTTTTTTTTTTTTTTTTTGAGCCGGAGTCTCGTTTTGTCTAGCAGGTTAAGATGACTGGATCTCAGCTCACTGCAACTTCCGCCTCCAGGGTTCAAGAAATTCTCGTGCCTCAGCCTTCCAAGTAGCTGGTACTACAGGCACGTGCCACCACACCCGGATAGTTTTCGTATTTTTAGTAGAGACGCGTTTCACCATGTTTGCCAGGCTGGTCTACAACTCCTGACCACGTGATCCACCCGCCTCGGCCTCCGAAGTGCTGGGATTGCAGGCTTGAGCCACCGCGCCCAGCCAGGAAGGGATTTTGAACCCTAATGCACTTCCTGTTTTTGTTTCCCTCCCCTGTTGTCTGGGATCAGACCGCACACTCTAAGCTGATCCCGGTAAGCTTAGACCGAAACTTTTTCCAAATAAGGTAAATGCGCGACTTGCGAGAAAAGGAAAAGGGGGAAGAAGAAGAGGTAGGGTTGATTTACAACTTTTACAACTTATGACCAGAAAGTTAAGTCATTTAAGAGGAACTTTGTTGTCCTAACACCTCTTTACCTCAAGTGATCCACCCGCCTGGGCTTCCCAAAACGTTGGGATTACAGGCGTGAGCCACCGCGTCCGACCCCATAAATTTTTAATAGGAGAAAAGAGAAACTGTAAACCCAAAGGAACAAAGCTCTTCCCATTCATGAACCCGCACCCCGAGTCGGGATTCTCCCCTGCCCAACCTCCCCTGGTCCCTGCACAATCTGGAAGAGACGCCACGCTGCGGGTGCAGAGCTGCCCAGAGAGGGCTCCACGCCAGGGCACAGTCACCGCGCAGTGAAGAGACAAAGCGCCCGGGGGCCCGGCTATCAGCACAGCTGCCATCTTATGGCTGAAAGGGATTGAGGCCGAGCTGGGCAAGGAGAACTGGGGACGCAGATTGTGGAACTGACTGCGGGGAGGCCTGAGTCCCGCCACAGCCACTTTTCACCGGTTCCAACCAGTCCCTCTCCTCTCTCCGGATGTCGGACCGGCACTCTCACCATTTTTGGCTTCCAGGAGGTCCCGGTGTCTTAGCTGTGGATGTCCCAATACCTGCAGGACACAGGACCACACAGCCTGAGCGTCCAGGAGCAGTGAGAACGAGACCTAGAGCTCTGACTACAGCGAGAGACAAAGGCCTCACCAAACCCGGAAACCGCCCTCTTCACTCCAGCTGCGTTTCTGATTGGATGGTTTCCAGCCCGCCGTCCCTGATTGGATAATGCTTAAGACCCCGCCCCCTCAGGCCCGGAGTGACAGTAGATGTGATCAGACGCTGGGCTGAGTGAAGAAAGAGTGACAGCCTAAGCTGCAGCCTTTTCAGGCAGGGCTTCCTCCCTGAGCTGAGCCAAGCCCACCCCAGAGCCTGGGAAAATTCTCTTTTCTTTACTCTCTCTCTCGTTGAATGTATTCAAAAGGTGAACAGAAGTATTTTGCTCTCATATTAATAATACATAAAACTTTTTTTCAAGAGAAAATCAACTTTTACTTTGGCAATAATGTATTGTCAATACTAAAGGTAATTTTGATAAAACGTTATAAAAGATTAAATTTGTCATTTTTGACCTCTCGAGATTTACATATATATTTTGTAATCTAATATCATTTTTTAACTGTTTATATTTTATTTTATCTATATTATTTTTATTTTTTCAATTTGAAACAACCTTTAAGTAATTTCAAACTGTTACAGGAGACAGAAAGAAATCATTTAGGGCCAGTCCGCTGGTGCACTCTTCTAATCCCAGCACTTTGGGAAGCGAAAGTGAGTGGATCTCTTGAGCTCAAGAGTTCAAGACCAGCCTGGCCAACGTGGCGAAACCTCATCTCTAATAAAAATACAAAAAATTAGCCACGTGTGGTGGTACATACCTGTAGTCCCAGGTGCTACGGAGGCTGAAGCAGGGGAATCGCTTGAACCCAGGAGGCGGAGGTTGTGTAACAGCCTAAGGGCTTCATGTTGTCTAGACAGAGGTGATTCATCAAGACAGGGGAATTTGTGGAGGAAAAGTTAAATATTAAATTTGAACTCAATTGAATGTGGACACACACAATGGTCATCACGTCCTGGAACAGGTTATGTGAGCCGCTTGAGGCATTCCTCTGCTGACCCTCCCCTGGTCCCTGCACAATCTGGGAGAGACGCTAGGCTGCAGGTACAGAGCTGCCCAGAGAGGGCTCCAGGCCAGCGCACAGTCACAGTGCAGTGAAGAGACAGGACGCCTGGGGGCCTGGCTGTCAGTCCAGCTGCCATCTTCTGGCTGAATGGGACTGAGGCCAAGCTGGGCAAAGAGAACTCGGGGCGCAGATTGTTTTGGAGAAATCTCTACTTTAGTCTATTCCTATATGTTAGTTATTGAAAAACAATAGCCAATCGCAAAAAAAACCATGTTGACCTTTTTGTGTTCCTTGAGCCCATTTGCAAAGAGCCCAGTTGCAACTGGGCCTCATGCCAAACAACTTGTTATAAAAGGAGCTAGGATCCTGGACTGCACCAAAGCTTCAAAGACCTCTCCTTGTCTGTGCAGGGACGGGTGGCTGACTCTTGGGCCCAGGCTGTTGTTTCCTGGTGTGGTGGTGAATCGTGGTCTGGTGAGTGGGTGTCGGACTCTGGAGTCCAGACTGTTGCTTCCTGGTCTGCTGATGAATCCTCCATAGTCTGGCGAGTGTATGGAGGATTTTTTTCTCTTCTCCCCTTCCCATTGCAATGTTCTTATTATATCAATTTTCTTATTATAGATGCATTGCCATTTACCTGGGATAAAGCTTGTTTACCCTTAAAGGTATTGCAAGTGTGTGTCTTTTCTTCTCCCCTCATGTGTTTCCTGCACAGAACATTATATTTCGCAAGGGCTTTGCTTGTTCCTTTTTATTATTTTTTGTTTAATCTTGTCTGCATGCCTTACTTCGGCAAGGTGGTCTTCAAACTCTGATGTCCTTTCTTCTGCTTGGTCAATTCGGCTACAAATACTTTTGTATGCTTCATGAAGTTCTCATGCTGTGTTTTTCACCTCCATCAGATCATTTATGTTCCTCTCTAAACTGGTTATTCTAAGTTAGCAGTTCCTCTAACCTTTTATCAAGGTTCTTAGCTTCTTGGAATTGGGTTAGAACATGTTCCTTTAGCTCAGCAGAGTTTATTACCCATCTTCTGAAGCCTACATCTGTCAATTCATCCATCTCATCCTCTGTCCAGTTCTGCGCCCTTGCTGAAGAGACATTTTGATAACTCAGAGGAAAGGCAGCACTCTGGCCTTTCAGCGTTCTTTTGTTGATTCTTTCTCATCTTCATGAACTTGTCTAGTTTTGATCTTTGAGTTTGCTGACAATTGAATTGTTGTTTTTGTTTTTGTTTTGTTTTGAGACAGAGTCTCACTGTGTCACCCAGGCTGGAGGGCAGTGGCACAATCTCGGCTCAGTGCAACCTTCGCATCCCAGGTTCAAGTGATTCTCGTGTCTCAGACTCCTGAGTAGCTGGGACTACAGGCATGCAACACAATGCCTGGCTAATTTTTGTATTTTTTAGTAGAGATGGGGTTTTCGCCATGTTGGCCAGGCTGGTTTTGAACTCCTGACCTCAAGTGATCTGCCTGCCTCAGCCTCCCAAAGTATTGAGATTACCGGTGTGAGCCACCATGCCTGGCTTTGGATGGGTTTTTGTCGGTACTTTTTTGTTGTTGATGCTGTTGTTGTTGCTTTCTGTTTGTTTGATTTTCTTTCAGTGGTCAGGTCCGTCTTCTATAGGGCTGCTGCAGTTTGCTGGGGGATCACTTTAGGCCCTATTCAGGACAACAGGTTCACTCCTGTTCCTGGAGATGTCAATCAAGGAGGGTGAAGAATAGCAAAGAAGAGTGTCTGCTCCTTCCTCTGGAATCTCTGACCTCAAGAGGCACCAACCTGATGCCAGTAGGATTGCTCCTGTATAGGGTGTCTGACAACCCCTGTTGAAGGGTTTCATCCAGTTGAGTGGCATGGGGAGGAGAATCCATTTAATGAAGCACTTTGTTCCTTGGTAGAGGGGAGTGTTTCACTGGGGGGAAACCCACTCATCTGGGCTGCCTGCATTTTTCAGAACTAGCAGGAGGAAAGGCTAAGTCTGCTGGTCCACAGAGACTGCAGCCACCCCTCCCCTTAGGGGCTGGGGCCCAGGGAGATCAGAGTTATGTCCCTGAACCCCTGGCTGGAGTTGTTGGACTTCCTGCAGGGAGGCCCTGCCCAGTGAGGAGGGATGAGTCAGGGTCAGGCCTAAAGAGACACTTTGGCGGCAGTCTGCCACAGCCAGTGTGTTGGGCTCTGGGGGACACCTCTTGAGACCAAGTTGTCTAGCCTCCCTGGCTCTAGCAGGGAAAAAAATGCAGCCAGGAGCTCTAGAAATTGCTGCTGCCCTTCCCGTGCCCAGGGAGCTTAGCCTTTTAGGCAATTGGGAGTCTCAGTGCTGGCTGCTGTCCCCCCTCCAAGGAGCTCAAAAGGCTTAGATAGCAGGCAGCCACAGCCATGGTGCTGGTCGCCCCTCCCCGGGGAACTCAGCAGGCTTAAGCAGACTCTAGCTGAGAGGATGTTAAGAATCTGTTCAACTCCCGGGTTGGAATCTGAGGCTCCAGTGGCGTGGCTTCAGGAGTGGAATCTTCTGATCAGTGGATTGCACAGTTTCACGGAAAAAGCACAGTTTCCCAGGCTGGGTAGCCTGCTCAGTCACCGCCTCTCTTGGCTGGGAAATGGCTGTGGCGGGACTCAGGCCTCCCACAGTCAGCTCCAAAATCTGCTTCCCGAGTTTTTCTTGCCCAGCTCGGCCTCTGTCCCCTTCAGCCATAACATGTTGGTTACGCTGACGGCCGGGCCCCGGCCGTCCTGTCTCTTCCCTGCGCGGTGACTGTGCCCTGGCCTGGAGCCCTCTCTGGGCAGCTCTGCACCCGCAGCGCCGCGTCTCTCCCAGATTGTGCAGGGACGAGGGGAGGGTCGACAGGGGGAGATTCTTGACTCGGGCTGCGGATTCATGAATGGAAAGAGCTTTGGTCCGTGGGGTTCACAGTTTTTCTTTTCTTCTATTAAAAATGTATGGGGCCGGGCGAGTTCGCTCACGCCTGTAATCCCAGCACTTTGGAAGGCGGAGGTGGGCGAATCACTTGAGGTCAGGAGTTGAAGACCAGCCTGGCCAAAATGGGGAAACCCCATATCTACTAAAAATACAAAAATTAGCTGGGTGTGATGGCGAATGTCTGTAGTCCCGGCTACTCCGGGAACAGAGGAGAGAGAATTTCTTGAACCTGGGAGGCGGAGGTGGCAGTGAGGTGAGATCGCGCCACGGCACTCCGGCCGGGGCGACAGAGCAAGACTCTGTCAAAAAAAAAGAAAAGAAAAAAAAATCCCAGCACTTTGAGAGGCCGAGGCGGGCGGATCATGAGGTCAGGAGATCGAAACTATCCTGGCTAACACGGTGAAACCCCGCCTCTACAAAAATACAAAAAATTAGCCGGTCGTGGTGGCAGGCGCCTGTAGTCCCAGCGACTAGGCAGGCTGAGACAGGAGAATGGCGTGAACCCGGTAGGCGGAGCTTGCAGTCAGCCGAGATCGGGCCACTGCACTCCAGCCTGGGCGACAGAGCAAGACTCTGTCTCAAAAAAAAACAAAAACAAAAAAAAAAAAACAAAACAAAACAAAAAACCATATGGGAGTCACTGCAACAATATCAAGTAATTTAATGAAAGAATTATAGAAGAATTGTAGAGCACCCAGCTATAGTTTGTAGTTTGAGGTCCATGGGAGGGGCTAGAAGAAAACACATTTATAAGATGCATGATGAAGAAAACCATATTCAATAATTGGTCAGATATAGTTAGGTAGTGTCTTAATTTGTACAATCAAGGTGGAAATTTCCTGATTATGTAATCAGAGTTTAATTGGCACTTTATAGTTGTTTAAGCTTGAATTGTGTTTCCCCTAATGTAGTGATTTACCAAAAAATGCACTTGAGTTCAGATTTTTTTCTTAGAAGTAGGAATCCGGGGACGAGAGCCTCTTCAGTCTCTCAGACTCCTAAAGTCTAACTGTCTGCCACTTAATTATTTTCACACCCCAACAGGGACCGATTTTCTCTGGCATTTTTCACATGTGTCCCAAGCAGGGCCTCAAGTGTACCCCATGTTCCTCAATTAATCATTTTTTAAAAAGCCTTGCATAACACTATTAAATAAATTTGTTTTCTGTTTGTAAATATTTCCCCTGGAAAGAAAGCAAAGAATAATCCCCTGACACTGTATTGTAAAAATATCTGTGCCTCTTTTTCTTCTATGTTTCCAGAGAACTTACCAGAATGTTTTTAGGTTAAGATTACCGTTTGGAAATTTTATAGGGTGATGTGTCCTCAGCTATCCTTCAGGTTTTTTTTTTTGTTTTTGTTTTTGTTTTTTTTTTTCTGGGCCTGGGTTTTAGTA